GCGTGGGTGCCAGGGCCTCGCAGGGAGGAGACTTGGATCAGCAGGGACGTTGTCCTGGACTTACTGCTCAGGCAGTGCTGTTCATTTTCCCTTAACAGCCCCCGATCTCTCTCCTGCTGGGCCCAGATTGGTGGGTCTGCGCCTGTTACCTTCTGCCCCCCTAGCCAAGTGCCTGCGCGACGCAGGCTAGGCCGACCTGACGCTCCCTCTTGGAATGTGAATGTGGAGCAGAGGGACGAGGGTGCGAAGACCAGTTGTGGTCACGTTGCTTCCGTCCAGGCCATTTGCTCTGGGACTGCGGCTCTTCCTTCCTGGTCTCTCAAGCTGCCTTGGTTTCTGACCGTTTCCAAATCCCTTTCTCTGGCTTGTGGTCACTTCCATGAGTTTCCGATGGCTATTCACTGGAGGCCTTTTTGCTGAGTCAGCTTGAGCGGTTTTTTGGTTGCCACCAGAGGCCCCTCAGTGTGTGGGCAGGACGGTGTGCGAGCTGGGGGGCTGCAGGAGAGACTCGAGACACGCCCTCTTATTGGCGGAGGAGGCTGAGACCCTACTCAGATTTCGAAGAAGACTCAGAAAGAATGCAGGGCCAGATGGAAGCTGAGGTTCCTGAAAGGAACAGACGAGGGAAGTGAGGGCTGAACACAGTCAGCCGAGAACCCTGGATGCAACTGGGTATCGTGAAGTCAAATCCGTACTTTGCTGGGCTCATTTATTATGTTTTTGTGTTTTGCTTTAAAAAATTCTTTAGTAAAGTTCCTTTTGGCTATTTTAGATGACCTTAGGAATGAAGAGGGGAGAGAGAGATAAGGGAAGGTTTGATCCATTCTGAGGCCTGCATAGCTGGAGAGGTCACCTGGGGGCACTGCAGGTGTGACAGAGCAGGGCTGTAGGTGGATTTATCCGGCAGAGCAGTGGTGCAGGGTCTGAACTGAGTGGGGAGGGGCAGGACAGGGAGAAAAGAGAACATGAGAAGTGATTTTGAGAGGTTCTTCCTTGCTGAGGTAAGAGAAGGCTGAGTCTGGGAGAGCAGTCTGAGGATGTAAAGGGCAGAGATGCCCTTTCTGTGTGGTCATGTGTGTGGGGTGGTCATACGTATGTACCTGGTAGACCTGTACGTACAAAGATGAAGGAGAGGGAAGAGGAATGAATCGATGACGAGTTTAATGTTTAGAAAAATCAGCTCCTGGGAGAATGGGGCATTATGGACAGAAATTGGTCCCTGTATTGGGAGAGAAAAATCATAAACTGCGTGTCATTCAAGTGGCAGTTGGAGACTCACTATGAAAATAGGTAAGGAGTTATTGTTAATTTTGTTGTCTGTGTAATGTTACTGTAGTTATGTTAAAGCAAAGGCCTTTATCTGTTAAAGATGGCCAGGGACTGGTGTGAGGATGAAACAGTGTGATGTCTGGCTTTCAGATCCTCCAGCAAGCAAACACACAAGACGTTGTCAGGGATGAACAGGCCGAGCTCCGTTCTCCTGAGTCGTTTCCTCTCTTCTCTGTGCCTTAGCTCCCTAAGTGGCGCCATTCGCTGTAAACCAGGGGTTCACTCCCGACGCTTCCGCCCCCTCCATCCAGTTGGCTATGAAGCGCTAGCATCCTCCTAGTCTCCTGCTGACACGGCCTTAGTCCGGCCCTCATCCAGTCTCTGCTGAAATTCGGCGTAGTTTTAACTTGTTCACGCTCCCCTCGCCTGCTCCAGTCGGCTCCATCTTCCTCATTGAAATCAGGGTCCTCGTTTGAATGAGTGGACAGACCCTTGAAGTGGGCGTAGCGGCCAGGCCTGCAGACAGTGGCTCAGCAGAGACACGCAAGGCCACGCTGTGGGTACAGAAAACCCAGGTCTGCCGGCGTGCAGCTTTGTGCCACTCTTGCCCCATCACGTTGCCACCCGGAAAGATGTCAGGGGCATGTAAGTCCTGCAGGTAGAGGGACCAGCCAGCCTAGTGATGTAGTAAGCACCCGTGAGCGTGAGGCACCGAACCCTGTTGGTGCAGCCCCTCCGAGTAGCAACTTGAGTACAGTTGGTGGGGACATGGGGAAAGATATGAATGTACGTTTTTGCTGTTCTCATTATAAATGGAGCCAGTCTTTTAGAGAGCAGCCTGGAAATACATGCATTTCAAAATAATGTCTATTATTGTAGTTGGTAACCATACCTCTGAGGTGCTGTTCCTTAGCAAATTGCGGTACAGATACACGTTCAGAGCTAAAGTGCGAACTCCCATTCCTCCCTCCAGACCCTCCTTCCATGGTTTCTCCTGGCTTGACCGAAGGCAACTTCGTCCTTGCCGTTTCTCACTCATAATCCGACAGCCTTGGCCTTGCTTTGAAAGCACAACTTGAATCTGACCACCCCCCACCATCTCGTGTACCCCCTGGTTGTGGCCTCCAGCATCTCTGCCTGTATTACCCCCGTGTCCATCTTTACCCTCTTAGAGACTTATTGCAGCACAGCAGCCAGATGGATTCTTTCAGCATATAAGCCACATTTATTTATTTCTCTGCTCAAAACTCTCCAGTCATTTCCTCCTCACTTGGAGGAAACGTTGCATTTCTGTAGTAGCCCCTGTCACCTTGGTTCCTTGTCTGTGTCTGACCCCCTCTGTGGTCCTCCCCTTTGCTCAGCCACCCTAGCAGCATAGACCTTGTTCCAGAGCCGGGCCGGCCCACGTCTGCCTCAGGACCTTTGCACTTACTGTTCTCGCTGTCTGAAGCTATTCCCCAGATTAGCATGTGGTTTGCTTCCTTAGTTTCTTCTGGTTTCTTCTCTGACATTATCTTATCAATGCAGCCTTCCCCGAACACCTGAAGTATAAAACTGAAACACCCCAGTGCCTTCCTATACTCCGAGTCCTCTCTTCCCTTCCTCCCAGCCCGATAGCTCAAAGGAGAGATTGAGGGAGTCTGCGGCTGTTGGCAAGCAGTTCCGCTCCTCCTGGTGATCTCGTGGTCAGAAACAATCTCAAGGACGCTGCCTGAATGATGAGTGTCTTTAAACTCTCACTCAGCAGTGCACCATGTAGGTGGCATCACCCAGGTCAGACACTTCATCCCTGAGTCTTAAATCTCACTTTCCTGCGCAGCGGCCTTGTCAGGAAAGCACACGTGTCACCTGAGTGATGTGGGGCAGCCTCACCCTCTTTTCTTCAGAGCAGCAGAGTCTGAATCAGACTGAGACATTTTCTCTGAATTAAAACTGGGTAACTTGACTTACCTTCAGGTGTCTTGTGCTGTATTAATACACACCCCAAAGTGTAAGCATAATCTCGTGAATGTGCACATTCTGGAAGACAGCTGGGCACAGCTCATGGCGGATGTCTAGAGCAGTGGTCAGCCAGCCTTTCTATAAAGAATTTTGGAGGTCTTGCAGCCTATGGGGTCTCCTTGGCAGTGACCCAGCTTTACCATCGTTGGGGGGTGGGGGAAGCAGCCCCCAGATGAGACAGAAACAGGTCTGTGTCCCAATAAAACATGACTTAAGGACACTGAAGTTTGAATTCCATGTAATTTTCTTGTGTCGTGAAGTAATCTGCAGAAACCATTTTCAGCACGCAGGCTGTTGAAAAGCGGGCACAGGCTGGACTCAGCCCGCGGCCGCTGCGCAGCGCTGTTGGGTAGAGCCTGGGGTGGGGATGGAAAGCTTCCGGGTCCGCGTCTCCATTCAGCAGTGATCAGTCCCGTGTGGCTGTGGAGCACTTGAAATGCAGCCACTTTCACCGAGGAGCAGAGTTTTTAATATCACTCACTTTTACTATGAATTTTAGTTTCATTTTAAACAGCCCCATGTGGCTAGTGGCTTCGTATTGGGCAGCACAGATCTGAAGAGAGCCTGTGTGTGGGCCCGGGGAGCCCAGACAGAAGTGTCCACTGTTGCACTGTTCACAGACAGCAGAAACCTGGAATTCTGGTATGTTCACACACTGGAAAATAATTACAGTCATGGCGAACGTTCGTTGAGTGCTTTCTTGATGCCAGGCAGTGTTTTAAGCACTTCACAGGTTTTAACTCATCGGGTTCTCACTGTGTGTGGCAGTGAGAATGAAAGACCAGTGTAACTGCACGAGCCAACCAGGACGAAGGAGTCAGACACACACAGTTGGGAAAAAGCTGAGTGAAAAAGCAAGTCACAAAAATTGCACACCGTCTGATTCCATTTTAAAAAACCTCACAAACAAAATGAAACAACATCTCAGGGATATACAAATATGTGGTAAAACCACTGAAAAAAGGGAAGGGAATTCAGGCAGTGTGACCTTTGGGGAAGCGACGGACTCCCCAGTGAGGCCACGCTTTGTGTGGGGAGAGGGGCTCCTGACCTCTGCTTGTTTCTGCTCTGTGGTGGTCACAGGGCAGGAGTGATACTGACTTGTGAGAACAGATGTTTCAGGAAATAAGAACTGCGATGGTTGTAGCATCACTCCACTTAGCATCGACTCTGGTTTTGGTTCCCGTTTAAGCAGAGGTTCCACTGGAAGAGGCATTTGTATTTGCTGCCTCGATTGGGTACTTTAGACAGAACATTGTTATTTATTCAGCTCAAGAACAAAGGGTTAACATAAAGCCCTTTGCTCCGACTGTTTCATTAAATCTAACGATGAGTTGAGTGCTACCAGAGTCTAACCACTGAGAACTTACTTAGCTTGAAAATGAAAATCTGAAAACTGTAAAATAACAAATAGATCTACTTATGAACTGTTGTCATCAAAGCATTCATTAAAAGAAAAATCCTAGTGACACCTGAGGGTGTCAGGAAACTTTATAGCAGAATTTTATCCCTGGGCTGGTGTAGTTCATGGTAAGTGGGATCCAAAGAGACATTTTGTTACCCAAGACTCAGTCTTGTTATAACAATTCTAGCAACTGACTACTGAGTTTATTGTTAAATTATATCAAGCTTTTCTATGTAATATATGCATCTTTTGACTTTTTTTTTCCCTTGTTTTGGCTTCATTCTTTCCTGTAATACTGACATGGGTTTATCTTTTCTCCCTTCAGAGAGTTTTGAGGTGACAGTCACCAAAGAAGGTGATAAAGGGTTCTTTCTCTCCCTCTTACGAACATTAACCCACTAACTTTGTTTATAAAATTGGGAATCAGCCCTTAAACAGAAGAAACTGTCATGCTCTTTTACCCCTATTTATTCTCCTACTTTGTTTCTATTTTTAAGTATATTGATGGGAATTGTATGTAACCAAACCCTTGGTTAGAAATATCTGGAAATCAGACATCCATTTGAACTGTATGGATTATCCTGTTCCTTTTTAAAAAATTGGATTTAAGAGATTCACCTTGTAGTCATTTTCTACTAGTTGTAACTTTGGAAAGATTCAGTTTTATTTTTTTGTGAAATATGTTTTGTGACGTTTTATACATACATCAAAATACTGATAGGTGTTCTCCCACGGGCAAGAGTGGAAACCTAGATGTTAATTTCAGCTTAAGCTTGTAAATCAGCTTGGATGTACTTAGGTTCCCCGGCAGGCGTCGGCTTCAGGTCTGACAGGAGAAAGTCCGAAACGAGGGCAAGTCTAGCAAATCCTCCCCAGAACGGAAGCTGTGTCTTCATCTTAGAGGATAGCTGTTGAAATGGATGCCTGAAAAGTTGGTATTTCTACCTTTTTCTTATCCAGTAGTTTGTTTTGATTCCCTAATTTTAGCCAGGCTCATTGCACAGGAAGACTTGTTTCTTCGATTTTTTTTTTTTTTGACAGACTTTCTGTAATTATGGTGCTGAACCTACATCTCCGCATCTTCCTCTCTCAACACTTAACTGTGCCTTTTAGCCTCCTCTCTGGTCCAAATCAAAACAGCTGCCCAGCCCTGCCAGGTCGCTGGGCAGTTTCTCCGAGTTATCAGGCCTTGGCTGTTTGCTAATGAACTGCTTTACCCTGGAGCTGTCTTAAGTACTCCTGTGAAATGCCTGTCTGTATTTTCTCTTTCTCTCTTTTGTATTCCTGCATGAATGGATGCAAAGTTAAACAAGTTGCTTGGAAAGCCAGAACATGCTTCTTTTTACTAAAGCCCCAGAACTTACCCCTTGTCCAAGCACAGCGCCCTTGCTTTGTCCACAGACCCTCCAACCCTCTGGCTGCCGATTGTTGTCGTTTATTTTCTTTGGGGGAGGAGGGGAGCGTGCCCAGGGTCGGTTTGGCAGAAATTCTAACCCCTGCTCCTTTGACTCCCTAGGTGAGATTTGTGGATTTAAAATTCATGGGCAGAATGTCCCCTTTGATGCAGTGGTAGTGGATAAATCCACTGGTGAGGGAATCATTCGCTCTAAAGAGAAACTGGACTGTGAACTTCAGAAAGATTACACGTTCTCCATCCAGGCCTACGACTGCGGGAAGGGACCGGATGGGGCCAGCGTGAAAAAGTCTCATAAGTAAGTGAACTGGACAGAGAATGTGTGTAAAGAGAGCAGGAGTGACTGTTCTGCTGTCTCCAAGACTCCCTGTTTTTGAAATGTGAGGCCCATGGTAGTTCCCAATTGTCCACAGAGGGACTGTAGTAAGCTCTTTGAGGGCAGGAATCGTGCCTGTTGACCCTTGTGTATGGTGCCTGGCACGTACTAGGTGCTGAATGAATGAATGAATACTTCGATCTCACCAGATACTCCAGTAAAGAAACGAGGGCTTTACGTTGAGAATCAGAAAAGCCCACTTTTTCCAGAGGATGATATTTTGTTGATATGTTTGTCTTTTTTTTTTTCCTATAAATTTTAAGGTCATTTGAGCCAGTGGAGGAAAGCTGGCTTCTGCACCCCATCCTGGGTGTGTTCACACCCTTCCTGCCACTTGAGAACTACTGGTGTAACAGAGAAGACTGAACGAGATGTAGATTTAGAATTCTAGTCTTTTCTCCACCACTCACTAGCCCTTTGACACCAGGCAAATTCAATTTTGTTGAGTCTCAGTTTCTTCTTAGCCCATTGACTCAGGGAGAAGGGTAGGTGGGTGAGGTGATGGCACGCAGCCCACTGTGAGGGCAGAGGTGGGTGGAGGGTCTTGGTGGACAGTGGGGGTGCTGCGTGCCGGTGAATCATGCCTCATCCTTTTCACACGGTGTGGTATTACTGTTTTCCTTGAAAAACACCTCGTTTCCACCAGGGACCTTGTCTGATTCAGAAACGCGCCCTGATCAGTTGCACTTGAGACTGACAGTTTTCTCTGTTTGTCACCTGGTCTGATGGTATGTGTTAGTTTTCTCAGGCCCGAGTGGGGCGATGGAATGAGGTTTACCGGGGAGGGCAGGCTGCGGTCTCTGTCGGGTCAGCAGCGGGTGGCATCCCAGCAGTGGTCGCTGATGGTCTCCATCCCTTTGAGGCAGGATGAAACTTGCTTTGATGCTCATAATTTCCCATCTTCCTTCTCTCTTCCTACCCCTTCTTCCTAACTTTTCTGGATTTTGCAACAAAGTATTTTTAATTTTTTGATTGGAGAGCAAATAGACGTCTGACACAGTTTATCTTCCTTCTTTATGCGCTGTCCCACATTGTCAAGAAAATCCCAAGTCTCTCACTTCATATTATTGCCTTTTTACCAGCGGCCTTACTCGCTGGGACTTGGAAGAATCAACCCAAATTCCTATTTTAACTTTCTGTTGTCTCTGCGCTAAATGAAAAACAATGACTAGTTTAATTTTTATCTCCATCATAAGGATTTAATGAAACAAGATAGCAAAGAAAGGAAATGTAAGAATAGGGCAGAATGGTATTCTTGGGGTAAAAGAACCCACAAACAGAACACACGGCTTCTTCCCGCCCTTCTTCCAGAGCCACTGTCCACATTCAGGTGAATGACGTGAACGAGTACGCACCTGTGTTCAAGGAGAAGTCCTACAAGGCCACCGTCGTGGAGGGCAAGCAGTACGACAGCATCCTGAGGGTGGAGGCGCTGGACGCAGACTGCTCCCCGCAGTTCAGCCAGATCTGCAGCTACGAAATTGTCACTCCAGACGTGCCCTTCACCGTGGACAAAGACGGTAAGAACCCAGGAACGTGCCTTCCTCACCATGGGAGAGATGGGGGCAGGCGGTGGGTCCCCTGGACACCAGTCAGCCTCAAACCCAAACTTGGTCTGCACTTCTGTGAAACTCTGTTCAGGCTGCTCTAACAAAACACCATAAACTGGGAGGCTAAAACAGCAGGCGCTTATTTCTCAGTCTGGAGGCTGAGAAGTCCAAGATCAAGGTGCTGAATGATTCCGTGTTAATGAGGACCTGTACTTACTTGGAGATGGAGTCTTCTTGCTGTGTCCTCAAGTGGCAGGGAGAGACCTCTTGTCTCTTCCTCTTATGAGGACACTAATCCCAACATGAGGGCTCTACCCTCATGACCTCACCTGAACCTCATCACCTCCCAAAGGCCCCACCTCCTGATGCCATCACCGTGAGGGCTGGCGCTTCAGTGTGAGAATCTGGAGGTGGCAGGGACACACACGTTCAGTCCGTATCAAGACCGAACATGGTGTGTCTGTTTCACGTTCAGCTTTTTGCTCTGTCCTCCTGCAAGCCTCTTTCCTGGCTCTAATGTCTTGTGTTCTCTGAGAGGGCAGTCCTCCATTTCCTTCTCCCCCAAAATCTATTAAAAATCCCCCACCTAAGTTGCTTTTATTTTTTTATCTCCCCACCTTTCAGTCAGTGTGCATCTGGATAAGATTGTCTTTTAGTCAGTCTCGTTTTCTGTTCTCCGTCAGATGTGCATCTTCAGCCTCATCTTGAAGATGAAGGTTCATACCTTACTGCCAGGCCCCCTCCATCCTTAGTAACTGAACAGAATGGACTTATTCTAGAGCTCAACTTCTTTATTAGGTTATGGCTTCTTGATGATGCCATGGTGTCTCCACTGTTAGTGCACAGTCCAGAATCTCTGATGAAATTAAGGGCACTGAAAATACTTTGCAGACGTCTGTACTGAGGTTCAGAAAGCAGGCTTCTGTTCTGCTGGGGAGGGGGAGGAAACCCCTCTCTAGAAGAGTAAATCTTTTAGCAAGAAGTATTGAATGCAGCTCGATCTTGTGTTTCATATTTGAAGTACTTGAGTTCTTTTGCCTCTTTTATATTCTTACATGTTAATGATTAAATCTCAAATATAAAACCAAATAAAACTGTAAGAATATATAGAGGTTGGATTGTGTAGACTCATCCCTCTGCTTAAACAATCCTTAGAGGTGGATTTAGGGTGTACTCAAGCTCAGGAAAGCCAGACTGAATGTTAATTACCTCAAGCGTCAGTTTTTTCTGTCTGTATTTCTAGGGTGGAAAGCAGGTGCATTTGTGTTTCAGCATGGGACGACAGAAGTCAAAACCAGCATGTGTTTGAAAGTAATCTGGAAAAAAAAACCACATATACAGGCACACCCATGTGTAACTGAAGCACTTTACACTTGAAACTCACACAATATTGTAATTCGACTATAGTTCAATTAAGCAAACAGTCGCGAAGAGAAAAACAGCATGGTTTTGGGTCCTCACTGTTGTTCTCCCTTGGAAGGTTATATAAAAAACACAGAGAAGCTGAGCTACGGGAAGGAGCACCAGTACAAGCTGACGGTCACGGCCTACGACTGCGGGAAGAAAAGAGCAACGCAAGACGTGCTGGTGAAGATCAGCATCAAGCCCACCTGCGCCCCCGGGTGGCGAGGTGAGCCCCCCACCCCGCTCCCACCCCGTCCCTGCCGTGTGTTCCCCGGGGAGGCCTGACGGGAGCTGCCCTCTCCCCCTCCCCTCCGGGGGCCCACACAGGATGGAACAACAGGGTCGAGTACGAGCCCGGCACTGGCGCCTTGGCGCTCTTCCCAAACGTCCACCTGGAGACGTGTGACGAGTCGGTGGCCTCGGTGCAGGCGACGGTGGAGCTGGAGACCAGCCACATAGGGAAGGGCTGTGACCGCGACACCTACTCGGAGAAGTCCCTTCACCGGCTGTGCGGTAAGGAGGCGAGAGGGGGACCCCCGCCCCTGGAGGTGTGTTCAAAGGTTGTGTGTATGTGTGCATTTTAAGCACCACTGATTTGAAGCAAGTATTTCTCTAACCTACGTTAAGAATCATCCAAGTAGTGATTATAAAAGTGGAGTGAGGTTTGGTTTGTTTTGTTTTATGAGGGGGAGGTAATTAGGTTTATTTATTTATGTTTAGAGGAGGGACTGGGGATTGAACCTAGGACCCTGTGTATGCTAAGCATGCGCTCTGCTACTTGAGCTATTCCCTTCCCCCGGAGTGAATTTTAAATGTAATGAGATGTGTTTTTTATTGTATTGTATTGGCCCCAAAGCGGCATTTATTTACCCATTGAATTCCAAAACAGTTAATTTAGAAGTCTGGCATTTCATAATCACCCATCTCAACTGACACGGGCGCCGTCAGGATATGCAAGGACAACAGCCAAAGGGTCACAAAAAATAAATCCATGATTTTTAAAAAATATTTTTATTGAAGTATAGTCAGTTTACAATGTTGTGTCAGTTTCTGGTGCACAGCAAATCCATGATCCTTAAGCAGTCGCAACCAAAACAAAAAAAAAGTTGCAGGTATCAAAGCTTTAGATGCATTGCATTGAAACAAGGTTTGTGCACATCATAATTTAGAGGCAAAACAAGGCACCACTGAAACTTCATGTTAAATGGTGGAGAAGTTAAACTGAAGGAGAAGAAGGAAAAAAAGAACAGAACCATAGGTAATGCGGTAGCTTTTGGCAAAGCTGGAGTAGAAAGTCGAAACTAAGGAGGCCCGCATCTGAGTTACAGTCTTGGCCGACTTCGTGTCCCACCTACAAGCTGCGGGGCGGCTGAGGGACAGGGTGGCTGCGAATCTGACCCGAGCCTGGTTCTTTGGCTTCTCGTCCGCTGTGGATATTTTTCTGGTTTATCTAAATGAGGTAAAGGTGAGGCATGCAGCCTCTCGGGGAGAGCGCTGAGGAAGAATGTTCTACTCGCCGGTGATAAAAGCACCAGTGAGCGAGGTGCCCTCCTCGCGATCGCAGGGGCCTCCTGTGTTCCCAGAGCTTCTCAGTAACAGCGTCGCGGGGAGCATTTTCCTATCCTCATCTGTCTTCTCCCTGAGGTATCGGCAGATCAGGCGACCGGTTTTCCCACGTGGTTGGACATTGTTACACGGTGAACAAGCAGGCGGGGAAGTATGTTCTCTGCCGGCTCCTCCCGCTGGGGGATATACTCAGGTGTTTCATGACTCTGGGTCCCGATAGGCATAATCATGTACTAAATATATGCAAGCTAAGATGTCTGGGATATTTTCTGTTTTAAACTATGTATATAAATGTAGTGCGGAAGACTTAATTTCTCATTATGCCATCATTTTATATGATGTCCAGTGCACATTTTCTCAGCAGAGCAGTTTAAAGGTAGAAAAATGGAAAGAATTTCTTATTTGCGTGCTTACTGTGTGCTCGGTACCTCCACGTGTGTTATTTCATTTGATCTCCTGTCAGGCCACAAAGACAGTAGTGCCGGCCTCGTTTTTACAGGGGATCTAATTGAGACCGAGGGAGGCCGGGTCTCTTGCCCGAGGTCACACTTTTGGGAAGTGGCGGAGCCGGGGTTGGGACTGAGATCGTATGATATTCGAAAGGCCAGGCTGTTCCAGCCAAGTCTTGCTGCCTCTTGAAATAGGGAAGTCCAGGACCAAGTGACTGGGAGAGGTTGCAAACTCTTCTGTGGACGAATTTAAAAGAAAATCGAGCCTGGAGATGTGTAAACAACAGTTGTGAAAATGTTTGACGTTCTTTGGCCTAGTATTCCATTTCTAGGAATTTATCCTCAAAGAATAGTCATGGAGACACACAGAGGTCCTCATCAAGGCAAGGTTTATCACAGAAAAAAATCAGGGACAACTCAACATGCTTGGGATAGGTCAGTTAAACTACAGTATGTCTGTGCAGTGAAGCCCTATTCAGACATTTTAAATTACACTGTGAAGAATGTGGATGGGAAGATATGTATGTATGTGCGTAGTCTTAGAATACGTATGTATTCATATGTATTACACATATTTTATAATATATATTTGCACATATTATACATGTTTTTATAATATGTATATATTCGTAAAGAAAGGACTGGAAGTATTTATACCCAAATATTAATAATGCATGTATTTGGTTGGAATTGCAAGTAATGTGTCTTTTTTTTTCTTTTTTGTTTCTTTTATTTTTGGGGGGTGGGGAGAGGTAATTAGATCTATTCATTTATTTATATTTAGGGGAGGCACTGGGGATTGAACCCAGGACTTCATGCAGGCTAAGCATGTGCTCTGCCATTAGAACTATACCCTCCCCCATTTTTCTTTTTTTTAAATCGAAGTATATTTGATGTACAGTTATGTAAGTTATAGGTGTACAACATAGTGATTTACAATTTTTAAAGATAATACTCTTCTTTTTTTTCCTTCTTCCCTTTTAAAAAAATACCCACGGTTGTTACTTATGAATCTTTTAAATAATAGAACCCCTTATTTTTGAGGAAAAGTAAACCGGAACTAGCAAGTTGTGCATCATAAGATAAAGGTAGTACCTCAGCACGGTTTTGAGATGCTCACACCTTTTGTTGGGCGCGTCACGCGTGTTGAGTGTGACTGTTGACTGTTACAGGTGCCGCGTCCGGCACAGCTGAGCTGCTCCCCTCCCCGAGCGGCTCCTCCAACTGGACCGTCGGCCTCCCCACCGACAACGGCCACGACAGCGACCAGGTCTTCGAGTTCAACGGCACTCAGGCCGTGAGGATCCCGGGCGGTGTGGTTTCCGTCAACCCCAAAGAGCCTTTCACGATTTCTGTGTGGATGCGGCATGGGCCGTTCGGCAGGAAGAAGGAGACGGTTCTTTGCAGTTCAGACAAAACAGGTGAACTTCCCTGCGACAGGCGTCCCCTGCGGTGGCACCTGGGGGCTGCTGCCGTGTGCTCCCTGAAACAGCTCCCGTGGGCTGTTGGTGACATATGTTGTTCCGTGATCAAGATACCACACTGGCACGTGGGCGTTTGTTCGTTTTGGGCCCCACTTCTCATTAAAATCCAAGTGTATTTATTTCTAAACCCTACCTTGGCTCACCCCAGAGAGTGCATTTATGCTGATAAATTTGTGTCTTCAAAATTTATTAAAGAAATAGCTTTTCCTTCTCCGTTGGGTCTTGAGTTGGCAGTTTGGCAGCAGAACGTCTCTTTGCAGATATGAACCGGCACCACTATTCACTCTATGTCCACGGCTGCCGGCTTGTTTTCCTCCTCCGTCAGGATCCTTCAGAAGAGAAGAAGTACAAACCTGCAGAATTCCACTGGAAGTTGAATCAGGTGAGTGAATGGCAAGCTCGCTGGTTATGAGAGAGATTAACTAGGTACTGCAACCTTGGCTTGCACAGTACCAGCTGTTAAATGGGCAGCATATGTTGAAGATTTTATGATTTCTGTGTCTGTAGGTGTTAGATAGCAAATGAAATCACATTGAGGAGTTGGGCATAGCTCAGTGGTAGAGTGCATGCCTAGCATATACAAGGTCCTGGGTTCAGTTCCCAGTACCTCCATTTAAAAATAAATAAATAAGTAAACTTAATTACCTCTCCCACCAAAAATATGTAAGAGCATGCATGAGAAAGGAACAAAGTATGTGGCTGTGGAAAGATGGCTGTCCAGGTGGTAGCGTCATCGCTTACTGGTGTAATTTTTATCTACATAGATCATCTCTTTCTGGGAAACTTTTATCAGAAGTTCTTTCAAGAAACTAAGAAAGGGATAGTCCAGAAAAAATTTTTGCAGTGTAGGTAGACATTTTAGGTATAGTTCTGTTTTAGTAACCATAGTCTGTATTTATATATTTATAGTTTCTCTTGATTACTTGTTTAATTATGGGAAATTTCATACATATGTAAAGTAGATGCGTATAGAGCAAAACTGTACACCTCCTTCGCCTAGCTTCAGTCATTATCAACTCTGGTCAGTCTCGTTTCATTGTTGCCTCTGCTGTTAATAATCTGACATCCATCCCAGTGATCACATTTCAAATTGTCTCATAAATGTTTTGTGTTTATAATTTGCTTGTTTGAATCAGGATCTAAATAAGGTCATATATTGTGATTGGCTGATAGACCTTTTGAGTTTATTTTAATCTGTAGATTTTTCTCTTCTCTCTTGGAATTTATTTGGTGACAAAATCAGAGTTTCCAGGAGCTTAGATTTGGCTGATTGCATCCCTGTGGTGTCGTTTAACGTGCTCCTCTGTCTTCTTTATGTCCTGTAAACTGAGCTTGGGCTCTGAAGGGTTGATCAGAATGAGGTTTATATGTTTCTTTCTTTCTTACTTCCTTTTTAAAAAAAAATTTTAATGGAAATACTGGGCATAGGAACCCAGGGCCTTGTGCATCCTGATAAGCATGTGCTCTGCCACTGACCCGTACCTGTGCCCGCCCCCTGCCCCCCGGGGTGTGTACGTTTCTGATCTGTTTCAGCTCTGGGTCTGGTGGTTTCTCTTTGTGACTTAAGCAACGGTTAGTGCTCGGTGCCACCAGTCCTCAGGGTGCTTGACGTTGGTCATTTGGGTTGTAGGAAGTGTGTTCCCAGGAACGGCTCATGGAACACTCGGCTCCTGAGTTCTTATATGTTGTTTTAATAGTTTGTCTGTGGCCTTTATACTGAAGGTCACTTAGGCTGGATATAACATCTGACTCAGATTCAAGATTTCCAAGAAGAGAAGACACCTCCCTCCGTTGCCTCCTGACATAAAATACTGCTGTTAAAATCTGCCACCAACCTGATGTTCCTTCCTTTGTAAAACACCTGGTCTTTTTGTTTGGATGACCAAAGGATGTGTTTCTTTTTGCTTCTTCTCTTCTTCAGGATGTTCGATTTTACGAAGATGTCTTGGTTGTTCGGGGCCTGTTTCCTCCAGTGCGTGTGTATGTTCTCACGCGTTTCGGTATTTCAGGAGGCTTTGCTGCAGCTGTTGGTGTTCCCTTCCAGGGCTTCGGTTCTCCTCTCTGGGGACTCCTTTTATCCTTGGTTAATGCCCTTTACCCGCCTTCTGTATCTGTCACTTTTGTCTAATTCGTTCCTGTGTTTTGTCACCTCATTTCCGAGTTGCTCTAGTTCTGAACTATGTAGTCTTGATTTTGTGTCATTTTTCTGATGTCTTTTGATGCATGACCGTTGTCATCCTTCTTGTAGTTAACGTCTCTCAGGTTTGGTTTCATTGTCTGAAGGGATATTACTCCCTTTGATTGAATTTTTTTTTCTTTAAAAAACCCTGCGTGGGGTCGAGTTGTCGTCTTCTCCCCTCTCGGTTTTATATGAAATGAGCTTTCCTGCACTTTGAAAATAGAGTTGATCAGCGTGACCTTCTCCCCCCAGCTTTAGAGTATGATCTCTCTCTCCCTTCTGCTGTTTTCACAAAGTGTGAGGAAGAACGTGCCCCCGCCCCGGCTCTGGCGTCCCGCTGACTCTCCTCTTGGCGTTCGCACCGTTACCACGTCACCCAGTGTTGCTGTGGGGTTGTCTGTGGTGTGGGGTTTCACTTTCCCAATCACCCTGTTTTTAAGGAAATTAGAAAATTATACTAATTCTACTACTGTCTTCTCAGAATATATGCTCATGGATTTGACCAATTATGAGTGATATTTAAATACACTGTTACTCTGCGAATCCCCTAGAAGCCAGCAGTACTTTAAGAACTGGAATGTAATATAAGTTGCTTTCTGCAGGAGCTTATGTTACAGAACTTGTTTCAAATGAAGATTTTTTTTAATTAAGATTTTTATCTATCTCAAAAGTGAATTACTGTGCAATTCCTTTATGTAGAAACACGTGATTATACATTTATATACACACATAATATGCATGTATAATAAACATATACAATGTTAGAGGTTTGGCTTTTTACTCAAGCTTACCGGGAGCAGCTGCTTTCCTTTTGGGGGTAATCTTTGGCAGTTCCTCCATTTATTTTGATGTTTCTGGTCTGTTTAAGATCTGTTTCTCGTTTGTTCAGTGTCTGAGCGTTTAAATGTGAATTGGGCGAACTTTTTAGAAACACACTTTCAGAGCTCTCACCTCACAGCACCTGCTCCTGCCTGTCTCTGTTCCTGCACGTCTGCTCCTTCCTCTCGGGCCAGCGGTCGGGGAGCGCCGGGCCTGGCAGGGCCTCGGGGCCTGCAGCCCGACTCCCCACGTGGCGGCTCCTTCACGATGGGAAGGAGCTCGGTTCAGTCTGGGCATCTGAACTGTCTGCATTTATCTAGACCGTCACCTTTGAGCTGAGAAAGGAAACGCACGAGCTCCAGGGTGCCTTGTCCTGAGACTGGAGGCGTTTCTCATTTTGATCTAGAAAAGGAGTGCCCAGCTCAGTGGGTGGTGTCTGTCCCGCCGATGCTAGAATTTTCTGGTGCTGCGCTCTTGGCCAGAGAGATGCGGGCAGCTCCCTTCTGGACCCTGTCACATGGTGGGCGAGCGGTGCCCTCATCCCAAGTGTCCCAGAGGCGGTAGTGCCGCCGGGGCCCCTCTGCCGGGACGTGCTGGGCACGTATTTTGTGGTTGTTGCTGTTTTACGTCTTTCCCTTTCTAAGGAGACAGATTCATCATGGGTGACTCGTTCTCGCGTCCAGTTGTGTCGCTGTCACTGCTGCGTCTTCGGGCGAGAGGGAAGGTGGGCACCGCACACTTAACCCTGCCCTTGGCCTCGTAGGTCTGTGACGAGGAGTGGCATCACTACGTCCTCAACGTGGAAATCCCGAGCGTGACTCTCTACGTGGACGGCGTTTCTCATGAGCCCTTCTCTGTGACCGAAGATTATCCGCTGCATCCAGCCAAGATCGAAACTCAGCTCGTGGTTGGGGCCTGCTGGCAAGGTGACGGTCACTGGCACCCCGTTCCCCCAGGGCGCAGGGCTTCAGCAACACTCCTGCGCTGCGTCGGAGGGGACGGGCTCCTCTCAGTATCTCACGCCCGTCACTCCCCTTCCCTTGGTCCTTTTGCTCCCTTGTCTGGCTTCATCTCGGGGGCATTGCTCTGTTTACTGTGCTCACCGAGGGGGACGAAGGACTCGCGCACACCCCAGCCTTCCCAGGAGCCTGGGAGGGCGCGTGGCACAGGGGGAGTGTCCTTGAGGGACTCTTATAAATCAGTCTGTTTGCTGGAATGTTCTCAAGAAACGGAGAGGCAGCAGTCAGGCACAGGTGTGGGGGTGTGCTTCGGCCCAGAGGGGCTCACCAGAGCCTTTAACCTGGTGGGGACACCTTCAGCAGGTGCTCCGCTGGTGGGGGGCTCTGTGGACGTGTCTGTGAAGACCAGGGATGGGAGGTGATGACAGCCCCCAGCGAGACGAGGCCGGTTACCGCTGCTTTCCGAGTGGCAGGCTGTGTGCCGATGACCTCACATGCATTACCTCTCTAACTGCAAGAATAAGTCTGCGGGGTAGGAGCTGAGAACCTGAGGCTCAGAGAAGTAGGGAGCTGTGTTACCCAGCTGGTAACGTGACGCTGGGATTTGAACCTTGGGCCAGACCTCTGACCCACTGAACCAGGGGTTTTACCCTTTTCTGGGCCATCGAGCCCTTTGGTGGTCCGAGAAGAAGTATTCTCAGGATACTTTGTAGTTAATCTGTAAAATACATAGAATTTCAGACACAAGCAATTAAATTGAAACACAATCATCTAAGCGCTGAACAGCTGGATTTGTAAGGTAGCAGTACCCATGCTGCTGTGTTGCCACGTGAAGATCAGGCAAGTCCAGAAACTGCGGTGAATCAGGGCAGCGAGGTGCTTTGTGACGGCGCTCGCGTCTCTGCCCAGTGCACCGAGACAGGAAATTACTCCTACTGGCAAAGTCTCAGTTTCTGCTAATACTTCTGTGGTTTGTAGCTGACACTTATAACCAAAGGGAGAGCTGAATTTCAGAAGTTCTTGAAAAGAAGCATGTAGTTTTTCCTATCCAAGTTCACAAACCCCTCGGTCAGCCCTCGAGGTTCTTACCCATCCTGCCCCCACCCCCTTCAGCCCTCGCCTTTGACTGTGGTGTCACTCAGGGTGTCACCATCACTACACATGCCTGCTAAATAGGCCTTCTTTTTCCCTCCCTGTGGAAACATTCTACCTCAAGTTAGGTTAGAAGTTTGTGAAAGAGCCTAATTTCCAAGACAGCTTTGCTTCTTTTAGGACAATTTGAATTTCGTAATTTTCCTGCAGACCCTTTCCAAAGGAGAAAGACAGTATTTCAGAGTGAACTTCCTCAGTGAATCCCCAGATTTCATTCTCGTGATAGTTCATCCATCAGGAAGCAGAGCATGAGACCAAGGAATGAAGAGTTAATTATTAGGCACATAGGAACTTTTTAGTGGTTATTCTTAAAACTTTGGTTCAAGTTTGCTTTCCAAATTAAACAATAATTTCTGAGTAGTGATTTTAAAAATAAGAATAAGAAAGCAGGCATGAGCCTGAAGGTTATTTTGTATTCTGGGAACTTTGTCCCGGGGGTTAAAATAACCCCCCTGCCTTCCTGGTCATGTCACAGCATCTCTGCTGTCACGTGGCAGTTACCTTTCACCCCCTCTCATCTCTTCTATCTCAGCCCTCAGCATCCTTAGCCAGAAAAATCTGCCTAAATTCCCAAACCAAATACAAGTTTTAAAAGTTTTAGTTAATGGGGAAGATGTCTTTTCTTCCTTTCAGTGGGTTTGAAGCCCCCTTCCTTCCAGATTCACTGTCGGGAGCCTGGGCTGCAGGCACCGCTTCACACATCAACTGAAACAGCAATTCTGACTGTGTTAGGAAGGTAGGAGCTGTGTGGGCTGCGGGGCTCACCTGCACACACCTGGCCCTACCCCCAGCGTATCCCCGTGAGGCTGCAGCACAAAAGGTGGCAGAGCCTGGGAGAGAAGCAGTGCACCTCCCACATGGTCTGGGAAGTGAAAATTCTGTGCTGGATCACTGGGCGGTCACTGGGCAGTGCCTCTCCCCTCAACACTGGGCCGGGAGCTGCAGGCGCTGTCAGGGGTTAGAGTTCCCAGGCCTGTCACGGATTAAGTCTTTCTCTGGGTGAGTTCCTTAACCTCTGACTCTCCCTTCCTGTTCAGAAAAAGTGGTTAAAATGCCTTTTTTTCCTCTGTCACTTAGAGGTCAAACTCTAGACCGATGTGAACTCCTTTTGAGCTTTAAAAAAGACAGCTTTTTACATATTCACCACATGCCAGGCTTCAGATGCTTCCACGGGCCGTCCCGTTTTGTCTGCCAAAGTATCTTACCCCCTAGGAAGGTCGGGGTGGGGTCCTGTTTGCACCAGGTGCGTCTCCGCCATCGGTGTCAGCTGGCACTTCTCAGCGTCCTGCTGGCAGCAGGGGTTGAGGACATCAGTGAATTTAGAGCACAGCATTTACTCATCGTACTTTGAATCCAACCTGTGTTTCGGCAAGGAGGCTGCAGGAAGGTGGGATGAAAGTAGAAAGAAGAGTGAGGGTGGTCAGTGTAACTTCAGGAAATGGTGACCAGGTACAGACTTCATCCAGGTGGAGTGTGTCCCCAGGAGGGGCAAGAAGGGAATTTTTCTCGTTGTGTGTTGTGTTTGGTAGCTTTTCAAAACTAATTTTCAAGGTCCAGTTTGAAGAGCCTAACCTCTTGGTCCTTTTCTATTGTCTGTCTTGCTTTTCTGCAGAGTATTCAGGAGTTGAAAATGACAATGAAACTGAGCCTGTGCCTGTGGCCTCTGCAGGTTGCTGGACTTTTCCCCCACGGTTCACTATTGTGTTTCATTTAAAGACAAGACATCAATTCACTGCACATTTCGCATGAGATGCCCAAGTTGCATTTTGGTCCCAGACCCTGTCTGAGCTGCTGCTTTGCCTTCCGCTGCCCTCCCTGCATCATGGGATTTCCCTTTTCTGCCCTTTCCGATCACAGTTGAAGTGAGAGCAAGTGACTCATTAATGCAGTGCACTAAGTGGAATTTTTGTTTTCCCTCATCAAGTTTGACCCCATTCCCTCTGCCTGAGGCGCCCCGCGGAAATCTCACAGGCCAGGTTTGGGAGGCCACCTCCTGCTTCTTGTGTGTCTGAACCACGAGACAGGAAAAGACTCGTGTCCAGATAGTCTGTCCTCATGGTGACTTTTGAATAGTGTTTCTTAGAAATCTCGATCCCTAGAGATGATTTAGCATCTGATGTCCTTATCAGGAGTGAGATGTGCTGCTGCCAGTTGGTCCCCTCTCCAGTGTAAAAACAGGGTGTAGTTCCACCTGGTTTTGGCTCTTTGTTACAGTCTGTCAAGGGCCACTTTCCGGGTTTTTCTTTTTCTTTTTTGGGAAGCAAAGAAAAGAGCAGCTTTATTGCTTTTGCTCGGCAGAGGGGAATCAATGCAGGCTAATGCCTTAGTAACTGTGAATCCCTCTTTTTAAAAAATCTAATTTGGGGGGTGGAAATAATTAGATTTTATTCTTATTTATTTATTTTTTTAATGGAGGTACTGAGGATTGAACCCAGGACCTCGTGCATGCTAAGCATGGCTCTACCACTGAGCTACACCCTTCTACCCTGGGTTTTTCTTACAGCGTCTTCACTTCCCAATTATCCTCAGTGGTAGGAGACAGGCACAATGGGACTCAACAAAATAGCCACCTATGGGCCTCGTACTGGCGTTCCTTTTATCTTTCTAGTCCTGTTTGTGTACGTTCACACCCACGTTTGTATGTAACCCCCTGAGTATGCTCAGTTAGAAAAAGCAACCCAGCACCTGACACAGCTGATTGAGAAGGCGGTGGTGGAATAGGCTGGCACCAGTATGATGTCACTCGTGTACCATGGTGACGGGTACAGTGCAGGCCACCCTTCCCAGGGAGTGGCTGGATGTGTGGGGACACTCATGGGACCTCTTGGCTTCTGGGCTTGGGTGAGGGACCCCCAACTCCTCTTCTCCAGGCCATGTGCATGATCATAAACCATTTAATTTCTTCACTGCGCTTCCATGTCAGTTGCAAAGCTAACAGGATTTGGTAGGAACTAACCTGCATGTCCACTCATCAAGCTGCCACCACCAGTAACACCACGTTCAGAAATGAAGCAGGAGGCCCTGGGCTGCAGGCCTAACTTCTGCTCTTCTCCCCCGTGTTCCAAAGGTGGTGACCTGCACATGACCCAGTTTTTCCGAGGTAATCTGGCTGGCCTGACGATCCGTTCTGGGAAACTTGCAGATAAGAAGGTGATAGACTGTCTGTATACCTGCAAAGAGGGGCTGGACCTGCACGTCCCTGAAGACAGCAGCAGAGGCATAAAGGTAACACCGGCAGCCGCCTGCATGGCACTCACGGCTTCCTGGGCCGCGATGTTGACACAAGGATTAATCTGTGATTGTCTTTACTCACAGCACCTCTGTGCGGGCACCACACCCGCATGTGACACCACATGTGCGGGTTTTTTCCCCACACCAGTTCTCCAGCTCTCTGGACTCTAGCTCCCTTGGTGTCCTGCAGTTCAGTTCAGCTCTGACACTAACTCCCTGGAGGGGGGGCAGGGACCCCCAGCCCACCACACGCCTGCTCCTCAGGTGCCAGCTGCAGTGTCAGGGCCTCCGACACCCACACTTCCATCCAACTGGGCTAACAGTCGAGGCTCCCACAATCCCTCCCCCTTTCCAGGTTCAGTAATCCGCTAGGACTGCTCAGTAAACCCCAGAAACACTTCACTTACTGTTACTGGTTTTTGATAAAAGATACAACTCAGGAGCAACCAAGTAGAAGAGACACACGGGGCGAGGAGCGAGGGAGGGCCCATGGCGCTTCCACGCCTTGTCTAGAAGCACCTCCCTCCCAGAACCTCGATGCATCCACCAACCCAGAAGCTCCCCAGACCCATCACTTAGGGGGTTTTGTGGATGTCCCATTAGGTAGGTATATTGATTAAATCACTGACCATTGATGGGTGGCTCAGTCTCCAGCTTCTCCCCGCTCCCAGGGTTTAGGGGGTGGGGCTGAAGGGCCAACCCTCTAATCACGTGGTTGGTTCCTCTGGCAAGCAACTCCCCTCCAGACTATCCAGGGCTCCACCAGGGGTCACTCCATTAAGGTACACTCTGGGCTGGTCAAAAGGGTCTTATTATGAGTCATAAGACTCTCCTGTCACTCTGGAAATTCCTAGGGTTTTAGGAGCTCTGTGCCAGAAGCCAGAGACGAAGACCAAATGTATATTTCTTACTATATCAGAGATCTGTTTGCACCTCAGGTATTTACCATCAACTTACAGGGTCACGTCCCTGGAGTTACATGAGTTTTTCCTCTCCACGTCACCAATTCAAGTCAAGGGCAAGCTAACCCTCTTTGCCAAAGCGTTTGTTCGTAGCTTCAGCTTCTTGCAATTAGAACCTTATTCCTCTCTTCTCTGTTTGGCACCATTTCAGATCCAAGCCAACCCCAGTCAGTCGGTGTTGACCTTGGAGGGAGAGGATGTTGGGGAGTTGGATAAGGCCATGCAGCACATTTCCTACCTGAATTCACGACAGTTCCCCACCCCTGGAATCCGAAGACTCAAAATCACCAGCACGGTCAAGTATGTGCTGATTGGTAACAATAAATCTGTCTTTGCTCAGTGACCCTTGAGAAGAAAGTGTGCGTATTTGGGTTTTTAAGACAACTCAGCCTCCCTTCTGTAAGGAAAGGTGATCCATCGCTCCTTACCAGGAAGGTCGAGTGATGTTCATT